GGATAGATTTTTCGATTTGGCCCACAGGGCAGAATTTGAGACAATGGATAAAAATTGCAGGGAGACAAATCAGGCTATATGTAAAGAAAAACTTCTAAATAATTCATTCTCTAAAGGTAGCAAGGGCTGCCTCTGGAAGTCATGTGTCTCACCCTCTACCAACTACCTGTTTTCAAACAAAGGTTAGATGACCACATACCAAGTATGTAAAAAAGAATTCTTGTTTAGGTATAGGTTGGACTGTGTGGCAACAAGGTCCCTTCTAACTCTGAAATCCTGTGATTCTATGGCAGAGCATTGGGGATGCCCATGCTTAGTAGATGGGAGAAAGAATAAGAATGCAGGATGAAGATAAAGAAGGTATTTTCATTGAGGTGGGAGGAAAATCAGAAAAGAAAATGTTCTCATTGATGACAAAGGAGAAAAGAATGTCAAGAAGAATTCATTAACAGTGTCAAATGCCCCCTAAAAGATGAAGAATTGGGACTGAGAGGATTCCAGAATCACACAATCACTGAATTTGAGATCTGGAAGGAACTTCAGCACCCAGCTAGTCCAAGTGATAAATGAAGGAAATCCCTACTGCTATACTTAACTAGTGGTCATCCAGCTATGCTTGAGGACCTGCAGGGAAGGACAGTCCACTGCCCATCCTACCATTGGACAACTCAAATTATTAGGAAGCTTTTCCTGACTTCATATTAACATTTGCTTTTTTGTAGCTTCTCCTGTTTGTTCCTGGTTTCACCCTCTGGGGCTAAATAGAATGATTCTGAGCCATCCTCCACATGACAATCCTTTGAATCGCCAGACACCTATCACATGAGGATTCTCTTCTCCAGCCTAATCAGGTCCAGTTACTTCAACCAATCTTCGTGTGACCTGGTTTCAAGGCCCTTTACTACTTTGGTTACCCACCTCTGGACACTATTCAGCTCATCAATGTCCTTCTTAAACCATGAACACAATGTTCCAGATGAGGTCCAATGATAGTAAAGTACTTCCCTACTCCTAGAAGCTATGTTCCTCTTAATGCATCTCAAGATTATGCTAGCTTCATTTTTTTCCCTTTATTTTTCTTGCTTTTTTATTTTTTTGCAACATGGCTAATGAGAAAATGTTTCACATAACTTCATATGTATGATGAAGGGCAGCTAGGTGGTGCAGTAGATGGAGCACTGGGCTTGGAATCAGGAAGATTCATCTTCCTGAGTTCAAATCCAGCCTCAGACACTTACTAGCTGTTTGACCCTGAGCAAGTCACTTAACCCTGTTTGCCCCAGATCTTCATTAGTACAATGAGTTAGAGACAGAAATGGCAAACCACTCTAGTATCATTACCAAAAAAAACCCAAAATGGGGTGACAAAGAGTCAGACATGACGGAAACAATCCAACAACAATATGTATAATGAGTATCATATTTCTTGCCTTCTCAATGAGTGGGAGAGGGGTGAGGGACAGACAAAATTTGGGACTGAAAATAAAAATTAAAAAAAAAAACTTCTAAAAAAAAGATTATATTATCTTCTTTGGTTGCCACATCACAATGCTGACTTATATCCAGCTTAAAATCCTTTAAAATCCCAGGTCTTTCTCAGAAAAAAAACTGTCTTTTATCCATGTCTCTCCCATTTTTATACTGGGGAAGTTGATTTTTTTATACCTAAGGACGAAACTTTATACCTGTTGGATTTCATCTTATTAAATCTAGCCTATCGCTAAGCTCCAGTCTATTAAGAGTCTTTTGGATCCTGACTCTGTTGTCCAGTATGTTAGTTATCCCTCTCAGCTTTGTGGTGTGGATGAGTATCTATGCTCTTTTCCAAATCAATGGTAAGGATACTAAATGGCACCGTCCCAAATACAAATCTCCAAGTTACTCCACTAGGGACTTCCTGCTACATTGACATCAAACCATTAACTCTTGGAGTCTGGCCATCTAACCAGTTCTGACACTATCTGGTTGTATTAGGATCTAATTCATCTCCCTCCATCTTCTCCATAAGAATAGTATTAAATATGTCAATCAGGAGATAACATGATTCAGTTGTAATTTCAGAGAAAATGGTTTCAATAGAATTAGGGGGCTTAAAAAACAGATTGAGGGCTGCTAAAGAGTGAACGTGTAGTAGGGAAGGAGGAATAGGGAGTGTAGACTATTCTACCTCGGAGTCTAACAATGAAGAAGAGAGAAATAAATGGATTGAGGTGTGGGAGAGGGGAGATGAAGGAGCTAACACTGATATCTTTGGTTTTCTCAGTGATGTAGAAGGTGAAGTCACTAGCTGAAGGGGATGAGATGATTGTGGAGTTGGATGCTTACAGAGAAAGGATATACAACTTCCCTTCCCCTGCTATTACAAAGAAATTGGGAATAAATGGGAAATCAATCATTTTACTTCTAAGAATTGTGTGCACTCTTCATCATATAAGTTGCATTCCTCCTATAGAGAATGCTAGTGAAACAGAAGAACTGTAAGTAAAGAAAAATGATAAGGGAACACAATAGACTCCAGGCTAAGCTTTTAAAGACTGAGAGGAAAAATCTATCCTATACAATATTGTATTTATTATTCTGACTCTACACATTGCTCTTTCTTAAAAGAAATGGTTTCACATTTATCTGAGAAGTTTATTAATGGGTTAACATCTTTCTTCCAGAAAACATTAAACATATTTTGCAGGATATCAGGAAATTCAGCTACTTTTTTGTGATTAGATTTAAAACACTGAAAAGATTGTTTCTGCTCTCTCCAAACATATTGACTAGATTCGCCATCATCTGTATTCTAGTCAAAGAGAAACTCAGCCGCAACCTCTATCAGAGCTTTTGTTATTTCAGTGCTGATTGAATGTCTTGGAAAAATGGGAACAAAAATCCAGATCTTTTAGCTGTGGCATTAGTATTAATAAAGAAAATTCGAGTGTATGTTCATAGCTAAGGAGCCGAATTTTTCACAGCACATGATGAATTCCTGAAATACATGAAAATAATCTTATGACAAGTTTGCAGCATTTCTTCTCCAAAGATGATTAATAGCAGCATTTGACTGTGATTTTTATCTTGAACAGAATTAGTATTCTTTCAGGTGGTTACGAGGAGGTAATCAAGCACACCGAATCCATTTTAATCCACAGGGCTTTGTGAGGACATTGTTAGTTTCTGCCTGTTTCCTGCATTCAGATTTTAAACCCATAATACCTTTTTCCTTGACATGAAATTAGCCAAATAGATTCACCAATGATTTCTTGAACCAGGTGAACACTTTCACATTCCAGCTCCTAATTCCCTCCCTGTTGGAACTAAGAAATATTCCTTCTAAGCATGAAGTCAGTATCCTGTTAAAATTAAAAGATTCATTTAGTGGCTACTATTCCCCTTGGTGTGAATTACTTTTTTAGGTTGTTTTCTAAGGAGGCACTGGGTAGATATGTGGCACAACACAGGTAAGAAGTAATAATAGAAAAGGGTTAGGGATCTAGGGGATAACGCATATTTCTGAGGGGGACAGCCCATGAGCTGGTACTAAAAGGTGGGAGGGGGCCATTGTTTCTTGGAAGAAGAAAATAGCAGGGCACATAGAAGAAATTTCATCTTCCACAAAATTTTGTTAAGGGCTTACTCTATAAGCCCTTATTATGGAGGGCAGAGGGGAATTAGCATTTATAGAATGCTTACTGTTTGCCAGGCATTGTACTAAACACTTGATAAATATCCCATTTGATCTTTACAACAACCCTGCAAAGTAGGGATTATTATTGTCCCAATTTTACAGTTAAGAAAACTGAGGCAAAAAGAGATTAAGTGACTTGCCCAGGGTCACACTGCTAATAAATGTGAGGCCAAATTTGAACTCAGGTCTTCCTGACTCCAGACTAAGTACTCTATCCACTACCTCATCAGATACCATTTGTCTATGGTAAAGCTTCAAATCATCAGAATTCAGAGATCTCAGTTAATTTCTATTGTTCAGTCATATCTGACTCTTCGTGATTCCATTTGGGGTTTTCTTGGCAAAGATGCTGGAGTGGTTTGCTGTTTCCTTCTCCAGCTCATTTTACAGATGAGGAAACTGCAGCAAATAGAGTTAAGTGACTTGCCCAGGGTGCCACACCTGTCTGAGGCCAGACTTAAACTCAAGAGGATGAATCTTCCTGACTCCAGGCCCAATGCTTTATGCATGCTGGCACCACCTAGCTGCCCTTCTCAGTAATTAGGAAGCCTGAAATGATGACTCCCAAGCATTGTAGACATCCTAGTTAACTAAGGTTCCAGGTAATTGAATTCTAATGAATAATTAGAGATTTTGAATAAATCAATCAAATAAATAAAAAGATTAAATCAGGGTTTTTTTCAGTTGTTTGTTATTGTTGTTTCTTTTTACTTTTGCTTTTACATATCTTTTTGTGCCACGGACCGTTTATGGCAGTCAGGTGAAGCCTATGGCTCCCTTCTAAGAACAATGCATTTAAATATACAAAATAAAATGCACAAGATTACAAAGGAAACCAAGTATATTGAAATACAGTTGCCAGATTTTTTTTGAAACAAGTTCATGGCCCGCAGGTTAACAACCCTTGGATTAAATAATTCACCAGATGCTCTTCTTCCTGAGGCAAGAGCAGCTAAACACACATTATACAAACACACATTTGCCCAAGGTCACACAGGTGGTAAGTCCCAGAGCCAGGACTATCTCAAGTCCAGTTTTCCATCCACTGTATTATGCTAACTGCCTCTCATAAAGTTACTTCTCCCAGAAGGTTAAATAAGGAAATGTCAGAATTGCTTTCAAATCTTTCCTGATTAACCCTGCATACCCATTAAAGCCAATAACTCCATAGACTCACAGGCTCTTAGAGTTAGAAGGTACATTAGAGATCACCCCGGACAACAACATATAATCTACTCAAATTATCTTCTAGAAACCAGATCTAGAAAACTGCAGGAATGTGAAAAGAAATGTTAATCAAGAAAAACCAGCCAAAGGAGATTACCTTATTCTCTTATCTTCAACCTTCTTCAAGTATTCATCTCTCTTTAAGACGCCCAGGATCATTTCCTTCTCGTGCTCCAATAAAAATGACAGATTGATAATCTCTGTGTTCTTAGACATGGTATTTCCACAGTAACCCCTAAAGCAAGTGGTTGGATAGGCTCAAGATGAATTGACTTCTGTAACTCTGAAGGACTTTTTAAAAAATCACATTGATGAGGAGAATCTACTGAGTCAACTAGCATCTCATGGTACTCTTCATGACGTCTGAGTAGACATTCCCAAGGGTGATTATGTGTTTTCTCAGGAGACAAAGGGGAGAAAAAGGACTCCATGAAGATTACTTGCTGAGGAACTCATTTTTTTCTTAATTGGAGATCCACAAAGTCTTTGCCACACTTCTTAGCTAAATTCCACCAGTAGAGGTCCAACTTAAATCTCTGCACACAGATACAGTTGTGTAGTGGCTGTGTCCAAATCCTAGAAGAACTGAAAAGGGAGTGGGGAAGAGAAAGAAAATGGCAGAAATGACTTAGACATTTATTTAGGGCCCCATATAAAAATACCTAATTTTTGTTTAAAATGTTTGCATCACTATTTATTAAGGAAACCGGCCTATAGTTTTCTTTCTGTTTTTGATCGCTATGGTTTAGGTATCAAAACCATATTATTATCATAAAACAATTAATTTTTGAAACAACGGTGATTGGGAACAAGATCTTTGAATCTGTAGATCAAAAGGGTTTAGAGTTCTAGAGAGAGGTTGAGGACAGAGATACAGCTTTGGAAGTCACCTAATGGGAAGACAGCATTCACACAGGTAGTGACAACACACAGGATTGTGTTTGTTAGATGTCAACTCTGAAGAAATATTACATTCACAAATAATGTGATTTTTCATGAAGTATTCTTATAGCAAAGGGACAAAATAGAAATTTATATAGCTAATCTGTGCAAATATCTCTGTTTGAACAAGGATGGTTTGTTTAGAATAAGAAAGGATTATGCTTTTATATAAGGAAGACCACAGACTATAAACTGAATATACTCCCAGAAGGTGAGGACAAGATCAAGAAAACATCAGCCTCTTAAATTGATGCTAACAATCAATATAGAATAGGTAATGAGGGAGATGTTAAATGAGACATAAAAGAGAGAGAGGCTACACAGACAGGACCCAGATCTAGCCACAAGAAAATGCCAGCAACAGAGTGGTGAAGGAATTTGACCCAGGATGGGGGTTCCCTGTAGTCAAAGCAGACAACTCAAGAATCTGATAGTTCAAGTTTTATTCTACTGAGTGGAGTTTTTCTCTACTTAACTAAGCAGAGGGGCAAGTGAGCCCAGATTCCTTCTATCTTCTCCCTGTGTTCAGTGATCCCTAGACAAAAAACAGTCCCCATGGAAGTTCTGGGTGGTGGGAAGTAGTGATGATCTAAGAAGTCTCCAGCTCATTAGGTTGTTACTTTAATTCTCCTTATATTCTCCTTTCCCTGAAGTATCCATATCTAGGTTTTAAGGTCAATCTATTTAGGGGAGGGGGATTGGGAACAGCTAGGCCTGGAATCAGGAAGACTCATATTCCTGAATTCAAATCTGGCCTCAGGCACTTACTAGCAGAGTAACCCTGGGCAAGTCACTTAATCCTGTTGGCCTCAGTTTTCCCACCCGTAAAATGAGCTGGAGAAGGAAATAGCAAACCATTCCAGTATGTTTGTTAAGAAAACTCCAAACGAGGTCACAAAGAGTCGGACACAACTGAAGGGACTGAACAACAACTTTGGGGGGTATTAATTCAAGCTCTGTTTGGTCTGTATCACAGGATCCATGACAATCCTCCCTGTCACCCCTGGCCGTCAATGACCTGGGTGGTCAGGGTAGTGACCACTGGCATCATCTTTGTAGCATAACAACTCTTGTTCCCTCATCCTTTCATCAGAATAGAAGGATCCTTCTTATAAAGAACAGGAATAATATCCAAAAATATTCTACAGGCCTGCCTGTACTGCAGCCTACTTGGGGGGGGGGCGGCGGCTGAGCTGTTTCTGCTGTGAACTTTGTGCCCATAACTACTCTACTAGGACCTGTGACACTATCTACTTTGCTGGAGGCTACTGCCCGTAGTATTACTACTGTTACTGGTGCTGCTGCCCCTGTTACAGTCCAACAACTGACAGTCTAGCATACAGAAACACAGGTAATTAAAATTATATGATCTATTAAAAAAAAAACTATAATGAAGATAGTGTCGGTTCACTTTATTAAACCACAGTCTGACAAATATTTATTAGGCATCTGCTAAATGCAATGCACTCTGTTAGACTGTGAGGATAGAAAAAAAAAGATAAAAAAATACAATCACTGCTCTTAAAGTATTTACTATCTAATACGGGACAGATTAGTGCACAAATCATTGAAATACAAATTAGAATATTCTAAATGAATATCTACTCTGTAAAATACTAGGCACCACAGGAGAAGTGTAAAACATGGTCACTGGCCTGAAGAATCTTATCATTTAGTTGAGAAGACAAGTATCACTAAGAATTATGAGGCCAAATTTACTCCATGTGTTACAATCTCTAATTAATTTTGTCTATCACTCATATTGAGTTATTTTGAGTACACATATCTGAAGGAATTTTTTTAATACCTCTCTTCTTGGGACCAGTTGTGACATCTGCTAGTCCTAGAAAAAAAGTCATTAGTTGGCTCTATGGCTTCTATCAATGAAAACCAAATAATTAATTCATCTTTAAAAGGAATCAGTCAAAAAATGGCAACTTCCTTTCCAGCTTTTTATGTATGCTACAAAAGACTTTGAACTAATAAAATTAAAAATTCTAAATCTTTTAGCAACATTATTTTCTTTTAAAAAAATTACCTATGCCTTTTGCTATTCATTACATTTATTTCCAATTGTATCACTGCACCTCCTCAACCCAGAAAGTCCTTCATAGTAGCAAAGATTTAAAAACAAAAAAAAGTCCAGGAAAAAAAATCTGACATTATATACTATATTCCACACCCTTCATTCCACACCTCGCAATGAAAGGAAAAAGATACATTTTCTCATCTCTTCTGTGAGGCCAAGCATGGTAATTATAACTACAGTATTCAGTATTTTTTTTTGTTCTTGACCTTTACATTGTTGTAATCTTCATATATAATTGTTTTCCTGGTTCTTCTCTCTTCACTCTGCATCATTTTTCATATTCACCATTTCTTACAGCACACTACTTAATATTCTATTACATTTGTGTATCTTGATTTGTTTAGCCATTTCCCAATTGATGAGTACCTAATTTCCAGTTTTTGCTGACTCAGCAAGTGCTGCTATTAACATTTTGGTATATATGAGAACTTTCTTTCAGTCTTTTACCTCACTGGGGTGTATGCTTAGCAGTAAGAGCTCTACGTCAAGAGGTACAGACATATTAGTCACTTTCTTAGCAAAACTCAAAATTTCTTCCCAGAAAGGTTGAAACAGTTCACAGCTGCAGAAACAGTAATATTAATCAGTATGCTTGCCTACTGTCCTCTCCATCTCTATATATCGCTAGGACTTTGTTTAAAAATTTGCATCAATATTCAGAAGTGATATTGGCATATACACTTTCATTACTTTATCTCTCCCTGGTTTAATTATTAAGTTCTTATTTATTTAACAAATACAATTTGGTGGAGTGTTTTCTTTATTATTTTTTAAAATTTGTTTAGGAGGAATGGTAATTCTATACTTCTAGCTGAAGTAGATCTCTACGCCATTATAATTCTCAAAAAGCAAATTTGATGTTTTTAGAATTTTTCTTTGATTTATTCAATATTCAATATATCTTTATTAAATCTCCATTTAGAGCTATATTTTCCATTGTGTTCCTTGTCTCAATTACTACTTTTTATCAAGCTATAATCTGTAACTCTCTATGCCAATTCTCTAAGACTAAGTTACAAAAAAGTTTCCAATTTGCACTAGTAAAGGCAGTTTCAATATTGGGAGGTCCAGCAAAATCACAGGTCCAGCCTCTACCACCACCCCACCCTCACCTTGAACTATTAAAAATGTGTTTAATATTTCTTTTATTTTAAATTTACTTACAATTTCTCTGTGCTATAGCACATAGCCTATTTTTGTACATATTCCATGTAGAGCTAAAGTATGTATATTTTAAATGTTCCCATTCAGAAGATGGCATAAATCTTTTGGATCCCACTGACCTACTCTTTGTTCAGTTTTATATTTCCCTTTTTATCTTTCTCTTAGATTTGTTTGAATCTGATAAAGGAATATTAATATCTCCTATAATTATTGCATTACCATTACCATTATTTCAATTCAGTTCATTTTTCCTTTACGAAGTCACCTGCTATGCTATTTCGTGCACACACACTTAAGGATAGATATTTTTTCATTTTCTGTGGCATCTTTAAGCATAATGGAGTTTATCTGTCTTGATACTGTTAATATTTATTTTTGCTTTGTCTGATGGCATGATTGGAATTCTACTTTTGGTGAATCACCTGATGTATACTAAATTTTGTTCCCGCTCTCATTTTATTCCATATGTGTCTTTATATTTTAGTTGTGTTTCTTCAATATGGAAAATTATTGGATTATAATTATTAGTCTTGCTGTTAATCATCATTATTATTATTTTCATAATACTCTGCTGCTTTCTTTTATTTTATTATGTTTTAAATTTGCATTTATATTTCCATCTGATTTGTGTGTGTTTTTCTACATTTGCCTGTTTTATTTAGCTTTTAAAAATTATTTTTAATAACTTTTATTATTTTATTTTATTATTTAGCTTTATCTCCTTCACTCTTAGGTGAGCATTTTGTCTCTGAAATTAATTATGTTTATACCGCTTCGATGTTAGTCTATTCCCTTAGGTACTTTACTTATTTCCATTTACCTGCCAATTCCTTGACTTTATTTTAACATTAAATTCTCTTTCTTTTCATGTACTTGATGCTTCTTTTAATACTTCTTTTTTCTCTCCCAGATGAGCATGAAATTCACATTCTTCCCTTACTCCCTTTCCTCCCAAGTTTTAGTTTAAGAAACACTTCTGTTCATTTTTCAAGAAATGTTCTATTGCTTTGTCCTCCAATTTCTCTTCCTTCCTAATCTATTCTGAATTCTATTCTCTAGTTCATGTGTTATACACTTACTCGTTCCTTCTTTAATTTCCCGGAGGGCACAGCTTCTGGAGAACCAAAATTAAATTCCCTTCTTTATCCCTTTTCTATGTTATTAAATTTATGGATTTTACCTGATACTCCTTTTCCCCCTTTTTTCTATTTCTCACTCTTAGATATATCAATTCATGAAGGAAACAATGTCAAATGGAAGCAGTGTCATGTGACAAAAATTGCTTTTTATCATGAGGCTCAGTCTTTATGAAACTACTTTGAAAAGAACTATCCTCACATGTTGGTAATCTTGGAATGCTCAGCAATACCTTTCAAACACCACCATTTCC